GATTCCAGATCCATGTCATAGGGTTGCTAGCCAACAACTGCATTATCCCGAAGTCGTCACCCGTGTCCGGTGTTTGGTGTCTCGGGAGTCGAGGGCGGAGCTGATGAAATGTTGAATTCTGTCAATAATTGGACTCGATCAGCCAGACAAGGACTCGAAGCCCAGGTTCTTGCGGTTACAAGTCGGACCGGGATATGGATCAGGCATGGTGCGTTTAAGGTGGACATTTGGCAATAACAAGTCTTATTCAAAGCGTAGAGAGAGATGGTCTAGAGCTGGAGTATGGGGGAGACGTCGAGTGCCGGGGATGTCATCCGATTCGAGAGGAGATGTTTGTGGTGTGGAGGGATGCAGACGGGAGGAGCTGTGGTGGCTAAGGTATTTTGGCTGTCGAGGAGACAACTCGGCGGTACGTACCTTGTGTAGGTACCGGTGAGTTCCCACCGATAAGACTGCTTCCTATCTTATCTTATCTTTAGAACCTGGGAAAGCTGAAGGAAGTCCAGGAACCCTCTTATATGCACAGCGTAGGTTCGATCATAAGTATTTCTACTTTAACATACTGAGGGGCCCCACTTAGATGAATTGAAGCTTCCCATTCGTAGACTTTTTCTCAAGCTCCGACCTCAGTCATCCGTCGCATGTCGTCGCGAAAGACGTCGTTCCTTTCCTTGTAGTCGCAACCCCTCCGCTGTCCAACTATACCATTCACCCCTGCTGTCGAATGCTTCGATTTCCACAACATGACGCGGTAGTCTGACAGATCCCAAGTTATCTTCATCATGCGAACTGCGGCAACATTCCCTTTGCGCAAGCTTGCGCGCCCATCTGGGCTCCTTGTCCAACCCATCCACAGACGATACCTCTCTACAGCACCACGGAGAACAGTAGCCCAATTTCTAGAGTGGAAGCCCGGCACCGAAGTCAAAGATGTTGTCGTCAATGGATACGTCCGGTCTGTTCGCAACATGAAGACAGATCGATTCGTCAATATTGGCGACGGTTCCTCACGGTCGCCTATCCAGGCACTGGTATCAAGGAGCGACGAAGAAAGGTGTGTCCCTCTCAGATCCCCAAGCTTGGCCACTGTCTCGGAAGCCGTGATTGCTGATAATCTCCCAGCGCAAACCTGCGAGTCGGTGCAGCAGTCCGCCTACGGGGTGTCTGGACTCCCTCCAAAACAGACGGTCAAAGTCACGAGTTGAAGGTAGATCATGTCGAAATCCTAGGCCCCTCTGACGCAAAGGTAGGCTCACTGCCCCTCTTCTTTTCTCTAAACTATCGCTAATACCGTCATTGAAACCAGACGTTCCCGATTCAGAAGAAGTACCAAACACCCGACTACCTTCGCACCATGCCCCATCTTCGAACCAGGATACCACTGAATGCCGCAATCTTGCGATTGAGATCAGAAGCCGTCGCGTTGTTGACTCAGTTCTTCGCCTCTCGAGACTTTACCCAAACTCATCCGCCCATCATCACATCTTCAGATTGCGAAGGGGCAGGCGAGGTCTTCAACGTTGCTACGGGCTCGACCGAGACACCCGCAATCTCGAATACGGGCAAGGACAAGCCAGCAAACATGTTCTTCCGCTCGCCAAAGTACTTGACGGTGTCCACTCAGCTTCATCTTGAGGCGTTAGCTCAGTCTCTGGGGCATGTATGGACATTATCGCCGACCTTCCGAGCGGAGCGTAGCGACACCTCAAGACACATGAGCGAGTTCTACATGCTGGAGGCGGAGATGAGCTTCGTCGATGAGTTGGACGAAGTCACAAACCTCGTTGAAGACATGCTCCGTAGCTTGGTCACTGGCTTATATCAGACTCGCGCTGCGCAAGAACTGCGACAACGACATGCGCCCGGAGAGAATCGAACAGCGGAAGATGACCTGGTTCCGATCGACGAAGTGGAGCGTCGTTGGAAGGGGATGATGCAGAGCCCAGCTTCCAGATGGCCACGCATTACATACGCCGATGCGATCAAATTGCTTCAGGCAGAAGAACATCAGTTCGAGATCAAGCCTACATGGGAAAGCGGCCTGCATTCTGAGCATGAAAAGTTCCTCGCCAAAACTCTCGGTGCCACCAGCGACTCCTCTGCCTATTCTCCCGTCTTCGTTACCCACTACCCTCGGGCGATCAAAGCATTCTACATGAGGAAATCAGACACCGCAACTTCCGGTCATGATCTGCCAGGTGACACAGTCGACTGCTTTGATCTTCTGGTCCCCGATTTGTGCGAGATTGCCGGCGGCTCAATGCGTGAGCATCGCTTGACGGACTTGTTGGAGACTATGAAGGCTCGCGGCATGGGCTCTCCAGCTGATGGCGGACGCGATGACACCAACGGCAGCGATCTCGAGTGGTATGTTGACCTCCGTCGTTGGGGATCCAATCCACACGGCGGCTTTGGCCTGGGCTTCGATAGATTGCTGAGTTATCTTGTGGGAGTCCCTAATGTCAGAGACGTTGTGGCTTTTCCACGCTGGTTTGGCCGGTGCGACTGCTAAGGTGGCCAGAGGACAGTCTAGGATGAACCGGGGCCCAAGTCATACCAACTCACGATGCGGTGCCTCGTTAAGCTTTGCCTACCTGGGATTCTGGAAGACGGGCTTGATGAAACCAGTACGACAGAAGTTGCACGGCGATGCGTGATGTTTGTGCAACCTCACTTGGCATAAAGATGGTCGACCTTGAGTCGCCTTGTGCATGTGCACCATGCTCTTGAGCTGCCAAGCGCGACGTCTGAGACCTGATTGCAAAGCTCAAAGCTATGTACACCGTGGCTTGCAGTTGACAGGATTCGATACCCATGGGACAATCACGCGACGTTGTACGACGGAAGGGACCAAGCATCCAGTGGCTCGGTCTCACATGGTATGCAACGCGAATCAGACCACCTACATTACAGGGTTGTGCAAGCCGATGTTGAAGGCGACCTCAAGTCGCCCATCAAAATGACGGATGGGCCTAGGCAGGCCGCCGTCAGAATTGAGAGTCACGGAGCATCACTTGGGTTGGTTATCGTTGACCAAAGCCGTCCCTATCTTCGACCACATACCCTCGAATTTCACGGAACACATGTTTAAATCTTTTGTAATTTGCCCATGATCTTGCGTCCGGTGCAACATGACACGACTCCGGACTCTGTATCAACACCTGTACAATCCAATACCCGATATATCTAGACATATCAATTACGTGTTGCGTCACTTCTTGGATTGTTACCATAAGTGCTGTTTAGGAGAAATAGTCTCTAGCCCTCGCAAGCATACAAGATTGTTGACCTTGTCGAGCATGATTCTCTGCAGGATCACCTCTTTGTTATTGATGATTTGATATTGAGCAGTACTTCGGCTCCAGTATTCCAGGAATCACTTAGAATGTGCTCAGTGCCGTAGCTGATATACCGTTTACACGGCTCTCCGACTCTTTTGACTGCGGATGTGACTACGGAAATGGAGGCCGCCATCTCCGCTATCAGGATGCTCTGCGGCTGCTTCGAACAACATTTGACGACGTAATTATCGGCAACGTTTCTTGAGTATTGAGGGTTTAGAGAAGAGCTCTGGCTGTGAGATTTGATCCTATTCTTTTCAGACTAGAATAGACTGGTCAAGTCTTCAAATCGACGACGAATATGCGCCAGCAAGGGATATTCCGTCCCTCGGATAGCAAAGTTTGATTGATTGTTCGCCGTGGAATGCGTCCTCGGCACAGGCAAATTACGTTTCTATAATGGGCGAGACACTGGATGGAGATTGTGTGGCAGTGTTCTGGAGTCTGGGAATCCCTCGGAAAACAAGACAGATCGTGAGCAATGATCATCGAAGATCGTGATATTATGGTGACGCCAAGGCCATGAGCCTCTCTTGGGGCCTTTAACGGCTGCCACCTCTTTATTCCAGCACCGCTGAAGTCAGTGTGGTGACCACCGAGTGCCCCCTTTAGCTTTCTCTCGAGAACGAGATGGACGGACGCCCTTCCTGATATGATATGCGCACGCCAACTCTGCCAAGCATCACCCAAGATGCTTGGCACGAGCTGTTTTTGAAAGACAAGAACGCGAACGTTTGGCGTCCAGCTCGGTTTCGATCTACTAGATTGGGCACGGAGTAGACAGGGCACACATCACCGAGCCCCCAGCCGGGCATTGTTCTCGATGAACTGCCCGGGTCAAAGGACTGCTGACCTGCGTGCCCGCCCGCCTTGCCCTTCATCACCATAACAGGGAGCTGGATGCTACAGTTCTTCTGGTCTCTAGAGACAAGGCTTCGAGTCCATGTCAGAAAACCGAAAGAGAGTGAGTGGCACCTACTCAGCACCCGAAAGGGGACAGGAAGATCAGCAAAAGCTTCGCCTGAAGTGGGGGACGTCAACAACCAAGACCTTGACTGGCAGACTGCCATCCGTAGCCAAGCATCTTGAAAACAACACGGCGACCGTCCGACGTGGGGATGAGGCACATTTTTTGCCCACGCGGCAGTCGAGAACGGCGTCTCTCCCGTTCTTGACACTTGTCACTTTGGTCAAGTTAGTTGAGAATGTGCCCACTGCTGCAACCTGGCAGCTGAGCATCACCCGTCGACTCCCCACAATCCGAAAGGTGTGAGGGGCTATCAAAGAAGACGGACGCCGACTGTATTCGTAGTCGGTTGTGGTGATAGACATTGGACGGATGGGATGCGGGAATATCCATACGAAGAGGAACAAGCGGAACCGATATTGCCGGCGCGCATTCCATTCCCAATGCCACGAGGGAATCTAGGATGGCGCTATCGATAGTTCCCCGCCGTCGATGATTTAGTGCGCATTTTTTTATCCGTATCTCTCCATCCTCCTTTTTGGCATTGCTCCTTTTTCAGAGACTAGAAAGATTTGCTCCGGGGGTGGTGGTGGCCGCGTCAGCAAAATAAACCATCCGCTCCTCAATCCCACATGGTTTTTGATGATGTATGATTTGGCGAACCGCCCCCTGAATCCTTATTACGCCGCGGGTTATTGTTCAAAACCCAGGTATGCCAGGGCAGCCGACAGGGCCCTTTCTCTCTCTCCACCGCGGAAGCAGCATTCGCTTTCGGAAGCAAGCAGGGGATAACGAGAGCCAGAAGAGAGCAAAAAGCAACAGAAGAATGACTGTGTGTGGGGCGCAACCCGGAATTCCATCGAACGAATGAAGGCCGATATGGCGTGGTGGCTTACATTTGAGTATCGAATTAAGCTTAAGCACACCTTCGGGATCCCGGTGGGAAGAGGGAAAAAGACCCCCCAAGCCAAGCAGCCGTAAGGTAGCTAGGGAGTGTCACGGCCTGTGCGCCATTCTTCTGTCTTCTTAGTTCTCACTCACACACACACCAGAGTTGGTTGGACGGATGGCGCACCAACGCCCGTCTGTCTTGTTGGAACTTGGTGTTGGTGTTGGTTACGAATCCAACAAGGGGAACTAAACTTCTTTGGCTGAGGTTTATGTTTTTCATCCTCTCCTGGGTGGCCTGACACCGACAGGCAAGGTGCGTGACTTCATCACACCGGCCCATTTATTTGTCTCTCGCAAGCGCTCGCACATCCTTTTCGATGCTAGTTCCCAACACTAAGTGGACGACTGCGTTCTGCCGCCTTAGCAGCTCGCAGCTGAAGTTCTTCTGCTTTCCTACATGGGATGTTGAGGTTCATACTGGTCAGCATAGAGAACATAGTTTTGAACCTGCGTGCACGAAGCAAGGGATATCTCTACCACAGGGACGATGCTGGCGACCAGTGAGTATGTCGGAAGTTAGAACCGCCCCGAAGACGCCGGTTCACATTGACATCCATCAACAAAACCTTTTTTTTTTTTTTGAATTTTGACAAGCAAGGTTGCCAAGACGTATCCGAGCAGGCGCCCCAGGCTTCGGGGTTCATTGGCGGCGGCTCTCGTCCAGTAGTCAGGGCGCCGCCGGTGGTATACGGGCGATAGAGTGTCCCAACCTCACCAAGCACCGGCGTTGGTTTAGATAACCGTTCGTATCGGGGCCGTGGATTCGCCCAGCGTCCAACAAATCCTTCCAAGGCTTCAACACCCCCAAAATCTCATCTCATCGAGTCTGACTGGCCGGTCTTGGCTCGGCTGGAACTGGGGACTCGGAGAGGGGGTGGTCCAGCACTGCCTCAATGCCAATGCATCAATCCGGTGACCAAACGGCACTAGAGCAGTTGGTTTAGTGTTGTCTCTCTACGGAGTTAGGCTGCCAATCTTTCGGGACCGTAGGGGACCTTTGGTATGAGGAGGGGGAACGGTTGGATCTTCTCCAAGGGCCGCCGACGTATCCGGGCATCCGCCCGTTCAGATTAGAGTCTTCATTTTCGTGGCCGGGCACCGTTCTGTGCCGCTCAAGCGGGTCCCCTTCATCCCATGTCAGCCATCAGTCACCGACGCCGCCGAACACCCGTCGTGGACTTCTCATCGCCAGGCACCTGCCATTCTCGATGTGAGAGGATCGGAGAGGAGCTGGAGGCTTTCGTTGTCGGGCGAAGGATCATCAAGTGAGAATTTTCACGCCGCACAGGCTCTTTTTGGACATCGCCAGGCAACAGTGAAATACCCAGCTCATGGCTCATGTTACAGGGAATGATCACTGATACAGAAGTTCGTACACCTAGTCCAACGGAAGTCACTAGACAGCGGGGATGCCATTATCATTGACCTTGCATATACGGCAAATCTACCAGGATCTTCATTTTGTTGTCTGAAAACTCAACAGTCCCATATCCGGATACTCGGTTGATGGTTGGTCCACTTACCTTGGTGTGCAAGATGGAGAGAGGCGTGGAGTCTATACGAGCAGGCGTGAAAGCTCAGTAAGGCACGTTCAGGTTAAGCTCAGGAGCTCGTCATCGACTTTACCCATACATCACATTCTCGGATGGTCAGTTGTTTACTTGGGGCCTTTACTTTACGTGTCCATAGAGAATCCCATCATCAGTCCTTGAGAGGATTGCTCGTGGCAACTGTTCACCTTGCTCCAAGGGCGATGGTGTGATGATGTGATGCGTCTGTGATCGCGGACGACTTACTTCTCGCGATTCCCAAACTCTCATCCGACGTTCGATGACCTGTACCGCCAATGGCGACAGCGGTATCCCGGCTAGCTTCCCGAATTCGCCAGCGTGTACGCGGTATCGCTGGTCCTGCCGACCTAGGGAAGGTGAAGCGTGATGGGCTTTGAAAGATGAAATCATACGGCGGTTCTTCTAGCGAGCTGAGTGGAAGTCCGCAGACCCAGCAAACCGGTTCCTGGCTCAAATGGCTACATGTAGTCCTGGCGCCCGATCTCGCCCACAGACTCCACGCTGCATGCTTCTCAGAATGATGAAGCAGTCGCCTCTTCAATAAGACGAGTTCCTGAACCATGTAGGCTGGACTTTTTGATATGTAGGTCGGCCTTGAATGCTCTCTTGGGATAGGCGTACGGGGATGAGCACCTCACCGATCAGGCTGAGCCCGCGTCCGCGGCCCGTCTTCGCTTGAAGTTGTTGCTGTACCGGCCGCCTCTCCCATCTTGGTCAATGTAGGGCCGTCGCTAGGCATCAAGAGGCGTCCCTCCAAATACGGGACGGAAAGATGGATTCTTCTCAGCTGCCTTGTTGTAGGATGGAGTTCTTCACTCGTAGGATGAGCGCCTGCAGCTTCAAAACATGCACGCCTTAGCCCGGCTTTCAACCCGACAGGTACCGCATATAAGCTCTCTGCCAATGCTGCACTTCACCAACATCGAGGTTGTGAGCTACAGGCAAGCGGTTGCTCAAACTGACTGTTGGCACCGGATGTGCTGATAGGCTCTACGGAAACAGGATGAACTGTGCCAGAGCCGATCCATCCCATCCTACCTATTGAACTGTGACAAAAAAGTTAGAAGGATTTTTGCTGGTGGAAGGGCCATACCTCTCGCTTCTATCTGCGTTTCAAAATCTTCCCGAACGAATAACAGACATAGCAATGATGCATCCACCAAATGCGTCGACTAATACATTGGATGGCCGCATTCTAGGTGCATCACCCGAGAAGCTTGGCTCACCGGTGGTGGTGGTGGCGCCGAGTCTAACTCACAGATGGTGTGCCCACCAGTCGGCTACATTTATGTTGGAATGACAGAATCTCCCAAAGTAGTACATTGCCTCACTCGACACGCTGATGGCGAAGCTGAGCTAAGCTTGCGCCCTCGGCGATTTGGACAAGCTTCATGACACATACTCCGAAGTTGAGCAAACATCTGGCTTCTATGCCGCCTTGATGTCGTGACTAAGCAAGGCCGTCATCTTCTTGACTCTTGAGCCGCTTACTGAGCGGGAAACCCGGCGCTAGAAGCGACCCTACGAAAGGTAACCAGCGGTCGTGAACGTGTGACACGCCAAGCGTACATCCGAGTTCTCCAAAGGGACTCAGTATTAAGATCGATGTCTAATATTTGCTCTCCTCGTACGGTACATCCGGTAACTGAACCTCTACGTTTCTATTCCTATCCGAATTGCAATGGTGGGTATATTTGACCCTGAATGACGTCTATCGTTATTCCCCAAGGGGGGTGTGAAAGGAAGCATCGTTTCAAGGGGACATCCCTTCACTTGCGATTTACATGGGGGCGGGTTGCGAGATGCCTTGCGCTTCAACGCTGGCTGACTTGCGCGCGGCACTTCGCAACAGACGAACGGAGCCCCGACTGGGCCGTGGACCGAAGGGATAACCACTGGGGCGGGTTCCCACCGCGGGCGCAACGAGCGAAACGTGAACTGGCGACCACGCCCTGTCTAGTCTTCTATTCGCCCTTCTTCCAGGTTTCCGTGGTCTCTGCTGCTCAATCAAGTATCCGTACGGTGGAGAGCTTTCACGAGAACAGCCCCCTTCTTGGACTTTTGCTCGGGTTCGGCTTGGGAGAGTGGAGACTAGCAAGACGGTTATGCGATCATTACGATGAATGTGCTGAGCTAGAGGCTTTCCTATGTCCGACTGTCGGCCACTTCTACTTTCTTTCTCTGCGAAAGAGCATCCCGAGATGCAGCTAAGGTCTTGGTCTCCATAAGCATATTGTGTCATCTTGATGTAGAGCTGACGGCGGCGACATGCGTTGGACAGACCGGCCATGTCGGATGGGGTTCCAACGGCGGGTTGTGGGCAGCGCAATAGTGCAGCGTGGGAGCCGGATCCAGAAGAGGTTCCGTTTGCCCTGCGGCTTTGCGGCGAACCAAGGCGGGATGCACATCGGCGGGGTGCCCTTCACACCAAGGTACGAATACCTAGATGAGCATCACGGAGGCTGGAAAAGGCGTATTCGTACATGCACTCCTGCTCCATAGGGATACAGGAGCTATCCTCCTGAAGGATCGACTCTCACAGCAGTCAACATTCTCACAGCCAATGAAGCCGCGCCTTACAAGGGAAGCCTGTCAGGCGCCGCAGGTGTTACGAGCCTATTCTGACCTGTTGGCTCAGAGTCGGCGTTCAGGGACATGGGATGGCGGGTCAAGCTCGATTAAGGTAAGATTGAGCGAGGTGGCTGGCCACTCTGAGCAGAGAACCTCAAGTGATGTCCTTCTTAGGGACTCTATTCGTATGTATAGACCCAGCGCCTAGGTTCTCTAGGTTTTTGGGCTGATGCCACTGTCATATTCCCTCGCCTTCTTACGCTCAGAGTCGTATCTTCCAACACCCGTACGTTGGAGCACAGTCCATCGTCTCAGCATGAGAAGGAATCCGTAATCCTGGGCAAGAGCGTAAGCTGAGAAGCAAAGCCTCGCGCGAGGACCCTCTTAGCCGGCACCACTGGGCAGCATCGTTGGTCGGTTCGGGTCGGTTTGGAACTTTCAAAGACCTTCGCATCGGTACGTCTCGTCTCATCATTCTTTCCGCTGAATTCTCCAGTTATCAGACGGGGCGAGAGGAGGGGCTTAAGCTTGACTCGATGGCCGAAACATGCAAAAAAAAAATCTGAGATAGTGAGGCTCTCTAGACTCTGCCCACCCGCTCTCTCTCTGGATTTGCGCGGCTGGTCCGGAAGCCTAGTGGCCAATAACCTTTCTGACTTTGCTGACCTCCATATTGCCATACTGCCGTATTGCAAGGACTACTCCGCAATGAAGTCTAAGTCATGAACGATCCTAAGCAACGAGATAAGCATTATCATCGACTCTTCCAATGTCGGGGAATCCTGTCAGGCTGTCAAGGAGAGACCCGCGCGGTCCACGGCTCGACCGAAAGCGAGCAGGGGGCAGCCGCGGGCTTCGATTTGGGTTTCTTGCAATCTTAACCATAAACCTTTTCCCGCAAAAGCCAAAGACGCATAGTCACTAAACTCTAGGCTAAATCTAGGGTATTTCACCGCCCGTCTGAATAAGCATCTTACCTTCGTCGGGACGGAAGCAAAAGAGAAGAGACCGGGGAAGGTTCTATTGGGCTCTGAAGGCGCACTTTATCTGCTGCAGAGGGAAACCTTGGACGGACATTTGACCATGGACCGCCCAGTCCACGTCCCCATGCCAAGACGACGGTTATTCCGGCTTTCATTATGAGCTGCCGCCTCAAGTTGGAGAAATTACGGATACGGCTATAGATACTGCATGCCGATAGAGACACAATGCTGCGCGCAGAAGAACTAACAGGAAGAGATTGAGTTGACTCTGTATGTATTCCTGGATGCCGAAAGAGACTGCATCCGCGGCGTATTGCTTCATGGGGTATTTTAGACTTCTTGAAGCCGTACTTTTTATCTCTTCTTGTGGGATGTGTCTCTCGCCTCGCCTTCTAGAACCGTTTCTCTCTCGGACCCGGTGCTCCTCGAAAAGTCCGTTAGGCTCCATAACTCATAAGTGGCCAAGACAGCGCCGCTCACCAACACAGGGCGGAAGCAAGAAAATCGTGCTGCCTTCGCTGCCCCTCCTTACTCCAGCCACCCCCCCCCCCCGGCTACCGACCACAACCTCCAGAAGAACATCGACAGATCCCAGAGGAGCTGTGAGGTATGCCAAGAAGACCAAGACGACGCTAGGAGCAGTGGCTGACAACGCTTAAATTCATGCTTAAACCTGCTCATGGTGCAGTGGCGCTGGCCTTCTGCTTGGCTTATTTACAGTGGCAGTTTTCCTAGTCATCGCTCCTGGCTCAGCCAACTACGAAGGCTTCCAGTCTATCTATCATTCAGTCGAATTCTCGTCATCTTGGCATCCGGTCGCGTAACAGCAGTTAGATAGGCGTGGCTCAACCCGAGGAATGTACTGATTGGCGCCTCGGACTAAGCTTGTCTCTCTGCTTAATCCACCGCCGTGATTTGATGCAAGGATACATCGGCGTCTTGTGTGCCCCCCCCATCCTCCACCCCTTTCTTCGCTTAGCCCGTCCAGCGAAGAAAACCTTGGCTCTCCCACATCACAGGGTATTCAGTAATTACCCTGTCGGATTGTGTGCGCGTCTGCGGCACCAGTGGACAATCGGTCCGGTGGCTCGCCTCTTCTTTCTCTCGTCACTCCTACGGATATAATCGGTCGACGGGCATGCCGTTTCCCAAGTCTTTACCCGCTTCTCTCGCACAGAAAGCAGGACTCGGTTCTTGGTACGAGCCACCAAATCAGAATAAAAGAGTCCATGGTGCTACTAATCCGTGACTCCAAGTACGAGCCCCCAAGGATACGAGCGCACCAGACATGTGCCACGGAATGCCCAGCAACGCCAACCTGGTCTTGGCAGCAATAGAAAGAGGCTGACCCTCGTTTGTGTGCAATGGTTCGCCGTTTAGCGGGACACACATCCTGATTCACCCAAGATCCATAGGATCACCGCCAAGCCCAGGTTTGTGCCTGTTTGGGCAGGCCAAGGAGTGGACGGCCATGTTCTCAAAATGATACGGATGCTACGGGGCCCGCGTCCAGCTAATCTGTGGCTGATGCCGATGCGCCGATGATCGTCGTCTATCTTACATGTGTACGGATATCTGTAGGTACTTGATGAGCCCCCTTCGAATTAAAAACTCTCTGTATCCGTGCATGTAGAATAATACTCCCGAACTTTGGCGGTGGGTACGCTTTCGTGCCGTGGGCCGAAGTGTCAGTACCTAAATTCTGTCTACGACTTCACAATACCTTGACTCGAATGGTCGGGCCCAGGGTCTCCCGGTTACAAGAAGATGGGGAATCGAGCTCAGCCGACCCAAATGAACGAGCCAATGCCACAGGCCATCACAACTCCCATGTCGACTGAAGTAGTCAGCTTCCGAGTGGTCAGCCTTCCCGCTGACTATCCAGCGAGTGTGAACCGCCCCAACCTGAAGACGGAGATATCCTAGACCTGGATATAAAGGAAGGGAGACGGATGACGGGCTATCCTGAAAGGGGATCTAGCTTTATCGACGAGCATTCCTCCTGGCTGACTCCTGCTGACTCTGCTGACTCGGTCCCGGGGTGGGCGCGCGTGCCACACCTCTTTCGAGTCTTTCCCTCTCCCCGTGCAGCCTACAGGGCTGATGGACCTGCAAACAAGCCTTTTTACCCTCTTGTGATTCGCCTGGACGGATACCGCGAGCCGTAGGCTGGTTAAAGTAGAGGACACCCTAAAGTCTATCTGGGCTCATCTCCGAGGGATTCTGCGCCATCGCTTCCCAAATGCGCGGGCGCGGGCGCGCGGGTTGAAGGGCTTGCAAGCCTCGCTTGAGAAAGCTAGCTCCCATTCTTTTCTTTTTTGTTATTTGATAGCCGCTGTGCCGTGAGCGAGAAAAGTTTACTGCCCTCCAGGTACAGGGGAGGGACGATCCAGACCGGTGGATAAGTTTAACCATGGAAGAGCAGCTACAGGCTCCATCACAGCGCCGGCAACTCTTCCCGTTCAAGAAAAAAAGACCTGCTATTGAATGATGTCTTGTTTGTGATGGCAGCAGCGAGACGGGTCTCGGAATCTTTCTCCGTGCCTCTGAGCACATTCGAACGATTTCATATTGCCTTGATCCGAGATTGCGTAGAAGGGTGACGAGTACCCGGCTCTTCGGCTCGCTAGTGATTGGTTCGTGGCGCCTGCTTCTGACGATGGTCTCTACGGATAGAGTACGCTAAGTATTAACTCTCTCCAACTTTCTATTCCCCCAATGGTCACGAATTCAAAGGGAGGGGGAACCTAGGGGGTCCGGGGGGAGGCTGTAGACATGATGGTGGGGAGCCTCAGGAGCCGGAATTCCGTTCGTCCAAATTCAGTTCGTGACCAAAGGGAAGAACTCTTGAGCGAAAAAAAAAGACTTGAGCTAAGGTAGGTAGGGTGAGGGGTGTAAGCTCTGGGCCAACCTTAATGACGCTGCTGGTATGGGCACACGCGGGCATACAGATTGCCATTTGAGTAATTACCTTAATTACCCAACGGTTAACTTTTGCCGTTCGGTCTGCCGTGTTCCCGTTGTGTAGACGGGAGACTCGGCAATGGTGTGCTGGATTCGGGGAACGGGAAACGGGCGTTTGGTAGTATTGAGCCCCTTCTCTCATTCTGCTACCCATGATGCAACTGTGAGGTGTTTAGCAATTCGGGCTACGGATACATGTGCGAACTATTCGTACGTTACTCTTGTAAATTGAAGTAGTCTGTCCGTATGGTTATTATTCTTGTGGCACGCCTATGAAAGGTCTACTTGTCTGCTTCTGGCAACAAAAGTACCCGATTCGCTTAATCTGAGAAGCAGGGGGGCCAGGCATCGCACACTTCAAACCACAAGTGCATCCTGCCACTGGATTCGCCCACATCACGCAGGCAACAAGAGCAAGTTGGTTAGTTTGATTGGATTTCGCGGTTGGTTTGGATTTGCAGAGCAAGTTATCACAGACTTGCACGCAGGTGTGTCTGCGTGCAGCACACCCACCCAACCACCCGTCTACCTTAGCCTGTTTCGCTACTCATGCATCCTGCCGGCCAAGACGTTCTGCAGAAAGAAAGAAAAAGGCGACATGTAGAGTCACTCATAGACGAGATCGAATGGAAGCATGACCAAAAGGTACCTTGTGCTGGTCTTGTTTCTCGACAGTGGCCAGCTTTCTGGGATCGACGTACAGCGTGGGACATGTCAAAGTAGGAATTTTGGGTAGAGAACGTCTCACGAATCGCATGCCCTTTCGTCGAACAAGCCCAAACGACAGTTACATGTGGGATCCCGTTGCCGTTAGGAACACTCTCGGTACGTCCAAACTCCCTTGAGATCGCAACGCCGTTTTGGGGGAAAGGACAACGGGCCGGTTTGGGACGGTTCGAGGGTTTACGGGTTTACAAGTGCCACCGGTGAAGTCGTCTAATGTTACCGTGTAACCTCCGTTTACCCACTGGCTCCCCCCACCCTCCTTTGTTAAACACTGCGACTTGATATGTCTTGGCGCCAGGCTGTGTCGCGTTGTAGAAGTCGTTTTCGCCTCACGAGATAGAAACTCGTTGGGGTCCCAACGAGGGATATCCCAGGCCCGGGACTATCCTCTTCATTTAATGACCTTTTTAAGCTCGGGGACAACAATCAAAGTGAGGGGGAAGAGAGATCTCGGATGGGACGGTCAGGGTTGGAGTTTGTTGGAGTAGGTGAAGGCTGAAGCTCTCTCTCCGGGGGTTGTTTGCGGGGTCCCCCCTTTCTCGGAGAATGCGGACGCCGGGAGGTTCGCCCTGCGATGCAACGCTGCGGCCGGCCTCAGCGCCGATTGCGACGAGATTCTTGGAGATTTGGGGCGGGAACGTAGATTTGAGTGTTGGAATAGTCTGCCCGTTGCTGATCGGTGATAATTGCAGCCCATGTAGACATACTAACTTTGTCCGAGGGAAATTTACTTCACTAGTACACAGATGCTGTGAGAAGGACATTGTCCATCGTTGTTCAAGCTTGCCGCGGCTACGGGGTATGTAGAATGGCACACAATGGTTGTTTGCTTTCGGACATGCGAGACCCGTCAAATATGCCAAAAACGTTAAAACCAGCCGAGTACGTAATACGAAAGGGGCCAGCCGGCGGGCTGGCACAGTACTATGAGGACAGATTAAGCTTGATGATCCGTGGAGAGAGGGCTAGGTAAAGCCAGGGAACGGATGAAAGTCGAGAGATTAGAAGGAGGGGAAGGGAGGGAGGATGGGCCCTTTTTCGGTTTCGGCTGTCAAAATGGTTACTTACGGTTACGCCGTACTACGGCTTTTGTCAGTTTCGCTGGTGTTGGTGTTGCGATGCTGTGCCGTGTTGATGGTTGCCCGCCCGTTACGGTGGTGCAGCTTGTTTGCTGTTGCAGGTGTCAGCCGGGCTCTGTCTCACCAGACTGCTTGGGACTGAGAATCTGACGAAGGGGGCGGTGAGAATGGGATCTGACGGGTGACAGACGGAGGCACTAGGAGAAGGACTCGGCGGTGTGTAGGTATTGTGAAATGGTGTACAGACACCGCTGAGGCGTTGGTAGCTGTTTGGCACATGTGGGGTTACCTACATACAATTCACGCAGAATGACGGTCTCGTGGGACAGCGTTGGTGGCTTTTCGTGGCTGGCTGTTGATGTTGGGGGACCACGAATCTGGGCCGATGTTGCGATGTCGTCTGGCTCAGCCGCATTGTCCAGCAAGCCAAGGTATCTTCTCATTACCTTCTGCCCATCGCCGAAGCGGTACCGTCTAACACGAGCGGATGGGGCTACCATCTGCGAGCGGACTTTCATGGCGGTACCGAGCACGGATAGGGACCTCACGAGTAAAAGAGCACCGATGCGATGGTTCCAAGGCTGCACGCGCTCGGCGGGCTGCATGCCGTGCGTGATGCGAAAGGGGGCCCGGATCTCACAGACATCAAGAAAGCTGACGACTACAGCATGGCGGAGGCCGGGAGGACGGGGTTTAGTGGATGGTGCCTTTGGATTTGCTGCTGACTTACTTTTTGCATCGGTTCATCCTATACATCTGACAGGATGCCAAAAAGACGCTCGAGTCACGGAAAACCTAGATGGTGAACTTTACCCGGGACGGGAATGTGTAAGTGTTATTGGGGCGTGTGTAGTGAAGGGGCAAGCGGATGTCGTGGTCGCACTGGTTATTTTGGCACTCGCTTTCTGGGACACGCTTGAAATTGTTACACGGGCTGGCTGGCGCCCGGATTGATCTCGAAAGTTCGGATCAACCCAGGCGGCCGGTTTTTCCATCGGGGAGATTTCGAAGTTTAGGTTGCGTGCGCTGATTGACGGCATTCATGTGAGGCACGAGATATCAGATGGCAAAAGACCGAACCAGTTGCCAAACGCAGAAGTCAATGTGAGTAAATATCGTAACAGAGAGTTGGTGGTATCGCCCATTCACGTACTCTGTTTCAAACATTGAGATCTTGGCTGAGGCAGCCTACACAGCGTCAATATGTAAACTCAGCCGCGCGGTTATGGGGATAATGAATGGTCCATCAACCTGAGCTCTTAAGAGCCACGATACATATATCACCCAAGCTGGCAGTTGAGCTGAGGCTGAGAAAAGACAGAAAGCGACAAGAGCAAGGGGCACCGGCGATCATTCGCATGAATGGATGTGCTATTTCGGTTGAACATTTTCCCCACAGTGATGCGTTCCTGACATGACATACGTACGCGCGCACATCCTCCACGCCTCGGGGATTACCGTACTATTGGCCGCCGTTTTCTGATATTGCGACCTTCCGGCAGGGCCTATTTTATTAGGGTTTTTAAGATTTGGCACTGACAGGTCGACCTTAAAACACACAGCCCTTTTCATTCCTCAGCCACCACTGTTCCGGTGGGGGCCAAGAGGGAGAGAGTCAGAGATCGTCTCGGCGGCCGCGGCGAAATAGCGACGGACGGGATGGTGGGGGATTCTGCTTGGCATTATCCTTCCCTTTATGTTATTGTCATGGCGATTTGCGGGACGGGTCAGTCTTTTCGTTCAAGGCAGTGATGGACATGGTGATGATGTCGACGGTGGGCCGAACCCGAGGAGGGCGTGGAAGCAGTGGTTTCGATGGGGGTAAACTGGCAACTGGCACACTGGGGAGCCAAGAGGTTGGCTGTCTGGGGAGTGAGGAATGAGTCGAGAAGAGCTCGAATATCCTTACTTGAGTCGTTTCCATTACAACTGATGATACCTTCTCCCTTGCCATTTGATTTTTCGGGTTGATTACAGTAGCGAGGCAGCTTAGGTGCCCTAGTATCGTGTTTAGAAAGGGTGTGTGAGCTTTCTGTTCGATCCCGGGTATCTGGTTTGCGCATCCCCCAGGTGTGTTTGCAGCGTCTTAAAGAGGAAGAGGAAAAAACGAGGGAACCGGAACCGAGAGACTGGGTAGTCACGGACGGTGTTTGCCTACTGCGATTATCCGTATTGTCCTCCAGGGCAAAAGGGGGATCTCGATAGGCGGCCGACATAGACGGGTTCATACAATTTGACTGAGTGCTTGCTTTTCCACGGCAAAGGGAGAGGAAAGCCGCATGATGGATGGATCTTCTGCATCCTCGAGACAAACGAACTCTTACCATCTCTCGCCGGAATGCTATAATTGGGTCAACGGACTCACCATCGTACCGCGGCGATGGAGAAATAAGTTGATCATGTTTCAACCTTTTGGCACGCCTCATTTCAGCTGACTATTCATGTGGCCTTGCTCAGCTCAGCTCAGCTCACACATCACCCCTACCAGGCTGCAGCGCAGCTCGCCCGCAGCACACAGCACGGGGCGGCGGTGGTGTGTGCTGTCTTCGTTCGATCATCCTGGACTGCGGGCTGCGGCACAATATGTACTATGTAGGCGCGGGCTCCGTCTCCAGTTGGATCTCGTTCGGATGCAGCGAGATAGGCCCCCCCCGTATGATCCTGTCATCCTCCTGCTGATCCGGGCAGGTCGCTGGACTTTGGAGGTGCCTGGTCTACCATCTTACCTAGGAGTCTGGGACGGACGGCACCGGCTTTCTCACTTGCGCGCATCGACTTTCCGTTTGTGTGCTAGTTTCCGCTCGAGTTTATTCGTAATAAGGTCGTATTATACGGGTATGCAGAGGACACGTTTTTCTCTCCTTACTGTGAACAAGGGGAGTGGGGTGTAGGAAGCGGTCGATTATTATTCAAAAGTGAACTACCTGGATCAAGCCTGGGCGCCGAGAATTTGATAAGTTCCCATTGTGTCATGGTTTGGCTAGTCGGCGCATTCAACGAAAGGGCAAGGTGACTATGAACTTTGGTGAAAAAGAGAGGGAGGAGGAGGGGTAAGTGAGGCATAGGCTAGCTATGCGTCTAGAGATACCGGTTGCGAACCTCTGAATCAACGATCCCATGAGCTAGTGGAGATCGGGAAAAGACAAGGAAACGACGATGGCACGATTCTCGAGCGGGTTTGTGTCCAAAAGCTTGGTATCGCTAGCCCACGGGATGCGGGAGGGCGAGGCTGGCACGGGAATAAAGTAGAGTAAGCAAACATGAGTCGGGGGGGCAGATTGTCATGTGAGGTTTGTGTGAGAAAGGGCTGAGGCAGTGGGGAGGATCTCGAAGCCGATTCAGGAACCCTGGCGGGCAGCCAAAGTCTTGATATGGCGATGCCCGAGCAAGATGAGCCTGCGACTCGTGAGAGCATAAGGGGGACGCTCAAGAGGGTCAGAAATGGAATTGCTCTGCACCGTCATTTTCGGTGTGGCCTATCAGTATCTATCAATTCACTAGACAGCGAAAGAAACACGAGAGAAATAGCGATGGTCCGATAGACAATTCTGTCATAAAACAAAGTGATGGTTCCTCGCTGAAATAAGCGTTTGCCTGTACGGATACGGGTGGTTTTTCTGTTCCCAGAAGGCCCTTTTTACAAGGTTTTTCTGCCCAGCACCCCAGCCCGGGCCCTACTTCGGTCTGTCAGTGGTTCTCGACCATACCAAGAATGGAGTACTTGACGAGCGAGAAAGGAAAGGACTACGTAGAAGAATGTTGGCTTCATTCTTGAGTCCTTGACTAACCTCCGATTTGCTTGGCAATGTGCGGCCGCCTGTACGAGGAGGGAAGTTGGAGGGGATTTTAGGTAAACTTTCTTCTTTTCGTTCTTTGCAGAACCTTTCGTGATCCGCTTCGCTAAAGCACGGTTTGCATAGTGTAGTCTTCCGACCTGAGCCCGGCGTGCCTGTCTGCCTGGAACACTAAGGTAGCCCGCGACCTTGTTTTTGCCTAGAAGGATGAGGGAGTTCCTGCACGGCCAACGTCGGCTTGGTAAATATGGGTTGACTATTGGTCATGGCCCCTTGGTAAACGAGTTACGAGCGGGATACGGCACGGAGAGGGGGCGGCGCCGCGGCAGGGCAGGGGTTTGCGGTGCGGCTGCGAAGAGAGGCCTGGGTTTGCGGTTAGATCAGCTTTTTTAGTCTTCTTCTTATTGCTTGTGGCTAAGATTATGGTTAATTCCCCGTCCAGTGAGGATTGGCAGGATTTGCGATAGAGAATGAGAGGCCGACCGACAAAGAAACATGTGAGCTTGATAGTTTCCCCTGCGTACTCCGTAGTCTTTGTAGAGCTGCGAACATGGGGGGTATTTGCTTTGATTTACGCATCGGGGTGGTTTGATTGGATACGGGCGTTTGAATTGGCGTGTGATGTGTCCCGGGGTGGGCGTCATACTGAAGAAAGACTGAAGTCTGGATTGGATTGGAGTTTCTTAAATTTCGTCTACCCGTATGCAGGCCTGTGGGAAAGACAAGGTTTTCCCTTAGTTTTTTTGGTCAGATCTTCTAGACTTTCTATGACCTCTTTAGGTGATGCATCTCCGTTTAGAGTTATGCTTTTAGGCTTGGCTAATGACAGAAGTGAGCGTAAGCAATACGCCGGTGCATCATGAAATGTGAAATGCCCGTCTGGTCCATTTGAGGGTTTTATACAATTGCCGGTTTCTTGGCTTGAACGCCAATGGTCTCTGCCGCTCAGAATGTTTTTTCTCTCTTGGATTCGAATGAGTTAAATGTCTTGGACGGAGTGGCTGAGCACATTGAATGTCTCTCCAGAAAGGTCCGCTCGTGGACACGCCAAGCAAAAACAATCACCAAGAGCCAAGAGAAACTCAAAAAAGAAGGCAAATTCTCTTAATGGCACATGAGAGTGAGCAGCAAGCAGATCATGGATCGACATGGAACAGTTTCTTCGTGCATTGTGTCTTATACTGCCCATTCATCCCGGTCCTTAGCAGTATCCTGCACTGTTTACTGGCCTCGGGGTCTTGGGACGTCCACATAGCCTTCTTGGTATGTGTCATTTCGCCAAGACTGGCCGATGGGCGCCAAATGGCAGATTTAGGGTTTCGTTCATTCTTTGGCTACGCGGTCAGGAAGGGGGGGTGTCAAAGCCTGTCTACTTGCAGTGCACCGTATTTGGCGGACGGTTTGATTTGGATTTTTATTTTCCATTTCCTTTTTAGTTTTCCTTAGTTTAATTTGGACTTGACATCTGGCTTGCTAGTGGCTACCAACCATAGACTAGGCTGGCGGACAGAACGGAACGGACTTAACCTTGTTCGCAGTCATAGAGTCTCTGCTATGTGTCTTCTTTTGACGATTTTTCTGCTCAGTCTTGCCGCTGGCTGGATACTCTATTTGTCTTCGTCGGGTGTTTTACCAGAGTGAATAAGAATTACCAATGCTTGTTGGGTCAGATGGAAGGGGGGCAGAATTCAGTGGGAGCCGACTTACGCCCACCCCTTCCAAGCTCGCCCCGTCACAGTGCTCTATAGAACCTTGTGTTGAGTTCGCTATCGCGGAATGAGACGTTGGTGCATCCTTTTCCCGAGACGGGAGTACGGGGCAAGCAAGGGGGGAAAAGGTTAGTGATTTTAGCCTACAGATCCGGTGGTCTGCACGTAGTCAGCGCGGCCAGACAATACCTATTGTTGGTAGTGATTCCCAGACCCTGATCCCATTTTGGCTTTTTTAGTCAGACGTACTTTTGCTTATACGAGGCTAAGTTCATGTACGGAGTATGTGCTCAGTCTGTAGAGTTCTGGCCTGGCTTGCTTTTTTGGACAATCGACCGGCCGTCTGCGGGATAATCTTTATGGTGCAGAACGGGGGCCTAAACGAAAGATTTAGGTACAGATAGATGGATTGGCACGATTAGATGTTCCTTCTTCTGGAACGGGATTCCTTGTTTGTGTGGCCCGGGAAAGGTGGAAGATGCGGCACTTTTTTTCTTGCTCATTTTTGTAATAAACAACGAACACACACGACTCGTTTCGACATGCTGCCCGTTGCGGCGGCGGTCGTGTTGTATTGGTATTGGGGACACGGAATAACGGAATTGGAGGCAACACTTTATCGGCGATCGAGTCTCCACCTGGTGCGGATGGATATTTAGTGGTTATTTTCCTGTGGTTCCGTTTCGTTGCTTCCGTGTTCCGCTGGCTGAATGCTGGCACGGGTAGAAAGTAACGTTTTGGACGGATGTGACGGTACTCAGTACTGCAGTTTTTGAGTGAGCACCGAGGGATTATGGTGCTTCGTTTGCAGCAAAGAAAAGCAGACGGGAGCCAAAGAGAGTGCACAGAGAAGAGGATGGGGCGGGTGGTGGGACCCTCGATCTCGGATACAGTGGTGGTGACGTTTTGCCGGCGGGAAGCACGGAACAAATAATGCAGATTTCTTATCCACACTTTCCATTTCTCGAGGAAATACAACAGTAATCCACCTACGCGGACCACCGCTCTGAAAGGTCAGCGCAGCGATACTTGGTACGCAGTATACCTTCTCTAGTGGGGCCGGCGGTGGCTGCGGGCTTGTCTTGTCTTGGCAGCCTTGGAAAAGGGCGCTGTTCGAAAGGAGGGTGTGGAGTTATTGCAGGTACCGTTAGGCTGTGACCTGCACCCAAAAGTGACTTTATCTTGTGTGTGCTGAGTGGATGTGATGGATAATGGGCCCTGCTGAGGAGGAATGCCATTATGGTGGAGAATTGAGCCTCGGCGGCGCATCGTAATCGTTCCTTTTCTTGCGTTTCTGCGTCTGCCCATTGCTCAGCCTTGGCCTTGATGCTCTATTCTATTTGATGTTGCAACATTGTCGTGTTTTTACCCTTTTCGTATCAGTTTTCCTCTTGCTGATGGTCAACTATCGGTGTACGTACTTCTGAGTGATGTCTGTCTGCACCCCCATTGAGGCGGCCTTTCCCCACGCCCCTGACTCGGCCGGACATTCCCACCCACAGAACAAGGGATGACGGTGAGTGGTTCAGTCTGTGTACGTATCTTTTCGGACACATTGGCCTCCACTTCGAAAAAGCTTGGTGCAGCGACTGTTGAAATAAGCTTGAATTCTTTTCGAGAAGGGAGGGAAGGAAGGTCGGCGGTACGTACCCACGATACCTTCTCGTCAGCCTGCACCTTCCACCCTGAGTCTGCAACCCACCTTCCACACACCAATTGGTGCCTGCGCCTGCCTTCCATACCTGTGTCTGCCGTGCCTGCCAAATGCACCCACATGTCGTGAGAGCTCCTTCCTGTCCACAACGACAGAGACCTTCCTCCTTCCATCTTGATTAAGCAAGTACCTTAGGTAGTGCTATTAAAAAAAAGAAGGTAAAGGAACATAATGGTCGAAAAGAGGAAAAGAGAAAGAATAGTGCCGTG